TTTTTTATTTTAGGGAAGGGTCTACAGGGTGTTCAGGGTCTCACTACTAGATAGACTCAGAGTGATCCACTTGTTTATAGCCTCCCAAGAGCTGGGATTAAGGTGCACGCCACCATGCCCAGTCTCAACTGCCATCTCAGCAAGGCCCGGGAGCAGGGCCAGCACACCAGGCCTGGGAATCGAACCCCTGGCCCCTGCACCTCCTCGCAGGCGCTTTAATCTGCTGAGCTATTCGGTTGGCCCTTCAAAACAAGGGTGGGCAAGATTTTTTCTGAGAAACTTCTATCTATATTATTTTAAAATACTACTATTAACCTATGAATAATCAGAGTACATTCCTTCCAATCTTTTTTAAATGAACCACAGGACTTCATACATAGAAGCACCAATACAAAGATGTTGAATAAAAGAAATGTAAAAATTAAAAGGAAATCCATCATGGTGGTGCAGAGAATGCAGAACTCATATCAGCATTAAGCACAATCTAGGTAGAGAGAATTAGACACCCTTTATAAAAAACAGTATTTCCAGGAAAGACAGGATGTTGGGCACAGCTGGGCATTCCTTCCAGGTGCTATAATCCATAGGCTCTGGTGGAACTTACTAGGACATAATCCAAAACACATAATAAAAGGAACTTGTCCTTGGTTTGTGGCTGCAGAGTTAAGCCCAGGTAGAGACATGTAACAACCCTGTGAAACACTAAGAAGTTTTAAAAGAAGGAAAGGACAGGGATTACCACAGCTAAGCACTCACCCCAAATACTACTAGATATAAGAAACAAGGATAAATTTAGAGGCCTGAGCCAATTAGGATCAATGGAAAATGGGGAGTTGGAAAATAATTAGCCAGAACTAATGGGAAAATCTTCCTAACCTGTGGAAGCTAGCCTGGACTACAAAGAGACCGTGTCTAAAAAAATAAAAACAAATAAGTGACCTTAAAGAAGATGTAAATAATCAAGTGAGTGAAATGACTCAATTACTAAGATAATTAAATCAATGAGTTTAAAATATAAATAAGTGGTTAAATGAGTTAAGGAAGACAAAGTATGAAAATCATAACTCTAGTAAGGAATCAGATTATGAAAAGAAACAAGCAGAAATCCTTCAAATGAAAAACTCAGTTAAAATTTTTAGCTAGAGTATGACCTGTCAGAAGGTAGAATATGAAGACTTTAGGACAAGATTAATAAGTCATTTATTCAGATACTCAACAATAACATAACCAGAAATTGACAAGTTCATCAAAAATAACTCTAAAACAACAAACTTTTGAATTATGAAGATTAAGATAGGATTAGAGGGAAACTGATGGTATAAAAAAATTATTTCCAAAATATCACAAAAGTATGTCCATGGACCACATGGCACACTGGCCCCACCCCCAGGTACACTGAGTGAGCAATGGAATCCAGGAATGGTGGTGCATGCCTGTAATCCCAGAGCTGGGAAGGCTGAAAAAAAAAAGTCCAAACCGCATAGTGAAACCCTATACAAAAAAAAAGTCCTAATTGAAGAGAGCGAGATGTATACCCTAGTAAATGAAGCATTTAGAACCCAATATAGTCAGAAAAGAGAAAAAAAAAAATCTCCATGTGAAACATGAAAATCAAAAAGATCCCAAAATTTCAGAACAGACAATACTAAAGTTGTTAAAGAAACATGCAAGTAACACATAAACTGGCAAACCTGTCAGATTAACAGAAAAATTCTCAACACAAATCTTAAGGGCTAGGAAAGCTTTGAGTTTACCCTTCAAAACTGACAGACTGATACTTTCCAAAACAGAAAATGTTAAAAAAAAAAAATCTCATGATCACCAAACCATTACTGCAGAATACACTCAAAGAAATCTTAAAGCAGAAACAGCAAGACCAACATCGAAAAGCCCAGAAGAAAGCATATAACCATCTGGGGAAAGAATTAAAATTTAAAAAATAAATAAATAAATAGCATCAGCATTTAAAAAATTAGAGCCAAGATATAGTTCATACTAAAAATGAAATGACAGAAAATGATATTCCATGCAGCCAGAGTCCCAAACAAGCAAAAGTGGCTATTCTAATTTGTACAAATGACTTCATATCAAAACTGTAAAAAGAAATAACGGCTGGGGATATTGCTCAGAGGTATAAGCACCTGCCTGGCAAGCACAAGGTCCTGAGTGAGACCCCCAATACCCACCCCCAAAACAGAAAAAAAAATTACACAAGGACTAGAATAGGTAAATACCTCTCAATGTAAATGGTCTTAATCTCCCAATCAAAAAACAGACTGGCAGATTAGATTAAAAAAAAAAATCCAACTAAATGCTACCTGCCATAAACATACTTCATCCATAAAACACATTCATACTAAAAATGAAAAGACAGAAAATGACATTCCATGCAGCCAGAGCCCCAAATAAGCAGGAGTGGCTGTTTTAATCTCTATAAATAACTTCAAACCAAAACTGTAAAAAGAAACGCAGTTGTTACAGACTGGCAAAGGGAATAATTCACAAGAAAGAGATGACAATTGAAAAAAGAATACACACAAACACCAATTTCATAAACAAAAACTACTTGACATAAACAGACACACAGATACCAATACAATCATATTGGGGGACCTCAATACACCACTCTCGCACAAAGGTCAATCAGACAAAAAAACTCAACAAAGATATTTCAGAGTTTAAAACACTCAAAATAACAAACGGACACAACAGTTTTCTATAGAATGCTTTATCTAACAATAGCAGAACATATATTCTTCTCAGCAGCCCACAAAACTTCTTTCAAAATAGATCATATTTTAAGCCATATCACTAGGTAGGAAAGAATTCAGTAATCTTCTGCATCATATCATAGCATAATAGAATGAAACTAGAAATCAACAGCAAAATAAAAAAAGTACACAAATATCTTGAGAGTAATATTTTCTTGAACAATCAATGGTTCACAAGAAATTAGAAGAGAAATTAAAAATGCTATACTCAAATGACAGTGGCAATACAACATACCAAAATCCACAGGAAACAAAACATTCCTAACAATGAAGTTTACAGAAGTGAATACTAGATTAGACAAAAAGCACAGTCCAAAATAACAATGCATCTCATGGTCCTAGAAAAACAGGACAAATACACATCTGAAACCTACAGATGGAAAGAAATTACAAAGATTACAGTGGAAATCAATGGAACTGAAACTAAAAAAATATGAAAGATCAGTGTAAAGAGTTTCTTCTTTGAAAGGATAAGACTGATAAACCCTTAGCTAAACTTACCCAAAGAAAGCTAAAAAAGACTCGTATCAAAGCAATTAGAAAAGGCAAAATAACAGACACTAGTGAAATCCAGTGGACTCAAAGAAACTAATTTGAAAAAATACTGCAATAACCTGGAGAATTTGAAAGAAATGAATAAATTCCTAGACATGAATCACTTACCTAAACTGAAATTAGTAATATTAAACTACATTACATAAAAAAATCATTCCAAATGTACTTCATAAACATTTCATATATATTTTAATAGCATAATCATGGTACAGAAACAAATTTTGTAATTTATGTGTAATGCATATTACATAATACATATTTAATATAATCACACTAGTAAAAAGGTAGCAGGACAATAGTACATTTTCTCTCTGTGGCATGAGACAAAAAGACAGTACAAAGCAGACAATACCACAGAATCTGTTTGTAATAAAGGCAAATGTTTCCCTAATCTAACCCTCTTATTTTCTGTACCTTTAATCCAAATTTTATTTGGTTTATTTAAAGAACATTATCATTGAATGCTGGACATGGTGGCCGACAATGTAATCTAAGTATCTGGGAGGCTGAGGCAGGAGAACTGCAAGTTTGAGGCCAGCCTAAGCTACACAATGAGTTCAAGGCTAGCCTGGACAACATAACAGGATTCTGTCTCAAAGAACAAAGAAACAAACCTAAAACAGAATGAAGACAATACAAATAGAAGACCACAATAAATGAATGCTTAATGGATACATTTTTTTTCAGCATTTAAAGAAATAGCCAACCTGTTACAAATAAATCTAAATTTCCTTATTACACATTATTTATAATACTAATTCTCTGTATTTAAGGAAGTAATACTAAGAATTTTTAAATTAAGTCTTCCAAAGCAGCCGACAAGAACTATCCAATAGGGTCAGCCTGATAGCTTAGTGGATTAAAGCGCCAGCTTAGGCAGACACAGGGGACAAGGGTTAGATCCCTGCCTGCCTTGCTGGCCCCTGCCCCTGGGACTCACTGAGGCTGCAATTGAGACTGGGCGTCGCAGCGCTCAGCCTGTAATCCCAGCTCTTA